ATGAGCACACTAGATGGATTAATTCAACTCCCGTACATGTCTTTGCTTGAATGCAGACTTAGTATCTATACTATTGTTTCTTTCAACGAAACCAGTTTTTTGTCATCAGATTTTGGTGGTTCTAACCTACTCTTTCTGCAACAAAACCTGGGATAAGAACTGATATTGAGGTCTGCTACCTTGAATAGGTGATCTTGTTATTACACATCAAATTAAATGTATAACTTGTACATTGTGTATGTATAATTAAATTTTCAAAAAGGATGGTCTTCTCCTTGGTCTCCAGACTTAGTAAACACACGATACCCTTGTTATAAAAAGAAATATAACAAAAAGTCAGAAAGAAATATTAACTCGGTCTGATTTGGAACCCTAGTTGCCTAGGGTTCCCGACTGCCTTGTCTCTCGTGCCCTCAATATCCTCTCCTCTAATCTTGGGTTCCAAATTGCAGATATATCTGTTTCACACATGAAACACAGTAATTCATCTAATCCGTAGCATAATAAACAACTATATAAGAGACAAGAACTAGAAAAATATATACCAACCTGCAATTCCATACACAAGGAAACTTAACATGAGGCTAGTTAGAACAATCCAAATCACGAACAAGTTTTCCTCAACATCACTACTTCCACGGAGGTCTGGGCCATAGAACTGCATGAAATTGATACATAAATTTAGTTAATAAAAAGGCACATGCTCAACTTGTTAAAATGGGTCCAGCAAGAGAGTTAACATGATTAAGTTTTATATTACTGACAAAGGAAGCAATTGTGCACTTGACCCAAAAAGATGAAATAATTAATTAAATGTATAATTAAGCAACAATTTATTGGTATTAGAGAGTGGCTCCTCAACTTTAATTTTCTTAATAAAAATTAATTAATAATTAATTGAACTTTTCATCATCTTCCTATTAATCATTCTCTTTGATTACTTTTGCCCCTTCCACCATTTCTAGAACTGAATCGTGGAGATTGATAAAGATTGCCACAAAGAAGTTTCTATAAAATGTGGGTTTAATGCATCCCAAAGTAAATGGAAAACAGGAAAAGTAATTAATTTCAAATTATATATAGACAAAGAAGATGACTAAGTTACCACTATAGACATCTTATAATTGCCAAAATTTAACAAAATTTTATACACTAATCAAATCTCTTTGAACTCTTGGATAATTAAATTAATTAAAATAATTAGCAAAGGATTTGTCCTTAGTTTAATGGAGAATGGCATTGCTGGATCCCAAGATTAATTAAATTCTTCGAATTATTCCATACAAATACAAAACCAAAATGGTTTACAGGAGTTTAGCACTCTTTACGTCACTTAAGTAATTCTTTTGTAATTTGCGAGAGTAGTGCTCTAATTACTTTGCTTTTGCTTCTTGTTGTTGGCCTTCAATTAGAAATTAAACTACTTTTAACATATAATAAATTCATTATTAATTAATTAACTATTTGATCTGCAAATAAACATGAGATAATTAGATCATTTGATTAATTAATATTCTTTTGTTTAGAATGTTTACATTAATGGTAGATCTACTTGGGATCCCACAGAATTAAGTCATTTGTAAATAATTGTACCAACTTTTGTTTTTCTCCTTCACTATTTTACAATTAAAAGATGTTTGTGTAAAACTTAATTGCAATTTCATCGATGGCAAAAAAATCAATAATATAACAATATTTTTATGTCCTATATCGCATAAAAATAAATTTTAGAATTTGAAATTTGGTAAATTTTCACTATTTATGAAATAAGTAATACATACCTGGTTCCATGAGTAATCTCTTGATGAACTGTGAAAAAAAGGGAGTGTATCTCTCTCCTTTTTCCTTTCTGTCAATTGCTTATTTCTTTTGATGGAAAAAGAAAACTCACGTGAGGAATAGAGAGAGGACCCTCTTTTATACAACAGCTTTATTAAGGGAGAACGACTTTTTCCCACCCAAGGTTTGATGAAATGACACTTACTCACCCGTCAAATTTCAAAATGACACTTTTCCACCATTTGTCAGGTTCTGTTAGTGTTTTCTGTTAATATTTGACTGAAAATATGAAAATACTTTTAAGTATTTTATTTTTTAATTAGTTGATTATAAATTAAAATTTAATTAATTGAAAGTCTTTATTCGATTATTTATTAGTCCAAGTATAAAGATACATTTTTTTCTTTGTTTATTTAATTAATTAGAAATATTGATTTTTTATGTTAATTAATAAAAACGAAAAACATTATAAATAATAGTGATGTGATATTGATGACATTATAAATAAATATTAAAATTATTTAACTTTAAACAATTTTATAGCATTACTCATAACTTTTTAGGTGGAGTTAACTATTTTTTCTTTTTTAAATTTTTAATAGTTGACTTTTTAGCTAATTAAAAAATTTATAAAGTAAAATATTTAAGGGTATTTTTGTCTTTTTAATAAAATATTAACGGAAAACATAACAGAACCTAACAAAAGATGGAAAAGTGTCCTTTTAAAACTTGATGGGTGGGAAAATGTAGTTTTGCCAAACGTTGGGTGCGAAAATGCCGGTCTCCCTTTTATTAACTATCAAACTGTAGTTATTTTATTAATTACAATAACCTCTTCATCAAAGGTAAATGACCATCATTGCCCTTTAGTCAATTTAATTATTTCAAACAACCATGAACCACCTTATGTGAATTAAAATATTTATAAATTATAACAGTTTGCACTATAGTTTTTAAGCTGTAAAAAATTGATTGATCATGGGTTCTAACATAAAATTTAAAATCAAGTTCATGGATTTTTTTTTTTTTTTTGGGAAGACAAATTAGAATATCATTAGACATTGGCTAATTTAAAGAGTTAAACCAATTTAATTAGACAGTTTGGTTGGGTTCAAGTTAATTGGTTTAAGTTTAAATTTAATAATGTTTTATTAAACTCATATTATAATTCACTTAAACATGTTCCTCTTCATCAGTATAACTAACCTTTTTATTATTATTATTATTATTATTGAATTATTTCTCAATAATACCCGTTTTTAAATAATTCTAATTCTAGTTCAAAAATTATGACATCCCCAATTAAGATTTAAGGAGGATGCGCTGGGACAGTAAAATATCTATCAGGACTACGGGGTTTATACCTCAAACCTCAGGGAGGAAAGTGTAAATATCCCCGTTAACGGGTTTAGTGGACTCCAACTTACACAGAAATTGGGCTACTATATGCACTAAGCCTATCTGTTTGGGCTCGGAGCCCATATTGTACAAAAGTTTGGGCTGGGCCTTTTGGTAATGGGTTAATAATTCATTAGCTTCAGGGATTGGGCCTTCTAGCCCAACCATTGACCAATTTTAAGTTGGTTAATGATTTCAATAAATAAATATCAAATACGATATATATCCGTTTGTTTTGGTTTATTATTTTGGATAAGATTTTGAGGATAATATTGGGTAATTAGATAGGGGAGTATTACGAGATAAAATTTAAAAATTTCTAAAAAAACCCTAAGTTTGCTAATTTAATTAAACACCCCAATATATAAAAATTTTATAAAATAATAAAAATATCCCCACCACCGTAATATGGCCGGAAAATTATGTTACGACACAGACCGATTGAATCTATGTCGTAACACATCGATATGACCTTTTCCGGTCAGATCCACCACTGATCTGATTGGAAAATGCCAGATCTACGACCAGAAGTAGCTATCAACGGTCGCAAAAGTCTACTGTTCTTGGCCATCGTTGACCAATAACGATTATCATATCTTTGGCTGTCACTACGGCTAGATCGGTGAATTATTCGCCATTTGCGAAAGCTCTTAACCAAAAAGAAAAAAAAGAAAATTATCCCCCTGTTTGTTTATATAAATTTTCTTTTCGAAAGCTCTGGAAAACCATTCTTATATTCTAAAACCTGCGAAAAGGTGCAAGCTTTATCACCCTCTCTTAGAAAAAAAACTGCATTTTTCCGGGAAAATTTTGTGCAGGTCATTTTCTGTCTAAACAAAAAAATTATTCATGTCGTTGAGCATCAAAAGTTTAAGTCTTTTAGGTCATTGTTTGCTCGGAAAATGTGAAAAAGGAAAAATGTGGTCGTAACGCGTCGATCTGGCCTTTTGGCCAGATCAGCCAAGGATCTGGCCGGAAAGGCCAGATCTGGCTGCTGCTTCGACGGCCAGATCTTGCTTTTCTGGCCAGATCCGTGGCGGATCTGACCGGAAAGGTCAGATCGACGTGTACGACACAGATCCGATGGATCTGTGTCGTAATGCAGTTTCGGCCCGATTCGCGATGGTGGTCGAATCTGGCATTGGGGTGGTAGGGGTTGTTTTGTCATTTAACAAACTTTTATTATGGGAGTGTGGTGTTTAATTAAATTAGCAAACTTAGAGAGTTTTTTTAGAAATTTTAAATTTATAAAACTAAAATTGAAACTTGAAGAGCATTTTAGTCTTTCACTATTAATAAACAAAATCACTAAAGAACATGACGGAAGTATCTATCTGTCGTTTCAAAACTTTTTGAGTATCAACTTGTTATTTACGGTAAATCTTGAGTATGCACAAGTCGTTGGGCCTTATTAATGAAAAGCTTTTCAAGAACCATATAAATATATTCTTTCATGTCCATTCGTACAATTATTTGATGGGTATTGGCGAAGACAATGACATTTGATAAATTCCAAAAGAATTAGTGGAAGAGGGGCCATATTTTATATCTATTATTCATAACTTTTAACATAGCCAAAAAAATCCAAAAACACGTCAACACCGTTATGTTATGTGTATCACCAACCATTACATTTATGAATTATGATTAATTGAATTTTTATTTAATTTTATTGTTAATGTCATTATTATATTTATTGTCATCGTTGATCATCATTGTCGGTCAACGATGATCAAGATTGACCATCGTTGACTTTTAACGACGCCATTTCTTTGGCCGTGACTAACGATCGCACATACCCGAGAGACCGTGACCGCGCGAGGATGCACGCCTTGATAGAATCAGAAATGCAACAATTGGAAGCAGATCGTTCTCCTTCAATGGAGAAACACTCTCAACTTGATGTTTCAGAGTCGAAAACGACGAATGGGAAGAAAGGAAGCAAAACTGACATAGAGCATGGAAGGGAGGAGACTAATGATTTAGATGATAATGATAAGAAGTACTTGCTTTCCCACGCATGAAATATGAACATTGTGGTAGAAACATCGACAACGCCACTAGTTTTGTAAAATTTATAGATTCTTATACAGGATCATTTCAAGTTTATGATCAAGGGAGATCCGCATATGATCTTCAGCTATTTATTCATTCAAAAGCTGTATAATTTTATGGGGCCTTAGGAGAGTGACATGATCTTCAGCTATTTATTCATTCAAAAGCTGTACAGAAGTCTGAAGACTTGAGAGTTGAGATGATGTAAAATGGGAGGCTCCATCTACTGATAAAGTCCATTGTAAACATTAAGATTTTTGTGTGCGTCCGATCAATCACGATTACGAGCTCTTGTATTTGGTGGACAAAGAAAATGTCTTCTCATCAGATTCTTCATTCTTTAATCAACATGTTTGGAGTGTTATTTTATGCAGGCCTTCGAGAGTTAGTGACATATAATACGCACCCACCATTTTGGAAACTGGAAACTATATTGTATACCCATCTAGATTCGTTTACCCCTTTAAAAAAGAGTAAACGACTTTTTCCCTCCCCATGTTTTCCTTAACGACCCTTTCCCACCAAAAAAATTTCAAAATACCCTTTTCCACCCAAAGTTTATATTATGTTACTACACAAAGACGATTTCAACCAATTTTGGTGGCAAAAACTCTCCCCATTACCACCATTTGAACATCCGATCTCCTTTTTACAAAACTCTTCTCACTCTAATATTTGATTTTTCGCTGATTATTAACATCGCAAAGTTAAGATTTCTTATTCTTAACCGATTTTTGGTTGATTTCGGCAATGAATATTCAATCAGTCACCATCATTCAATCCATCGGCCTCCACTCTATAAAACTCCTCTTACTTTGGCTCTTGGTAACTCGAGGAACACTAATTGAGAAAGTGAAGTGTATTTTTAGTATAAACATAATATAAACTTTGGGTGGGAAAGTGGTATTTTGAAATTTTTTTTGTGGGAAAGTGCCATTAAGGCAAACCTTAGGTGGGAAAGAGTCGTTTACTCTTAAAAAAAAAAAAAAAACATTAAAAATCTTTATTAGGGATTATCTAATACTTTTCCAAAATCGTGCACATTAATATTCCACCATCTAAGGGGATTGGTCTTTATATGGATTAATTAAGATACATTAAATAAAAATGAACGGTATAAGGTGGTGGCGCACCTGGCTAGCGCGTAGGTCTCATAGCTTAGAGTGATCCTGAGGTCGCGAGTTCGAACCTCTCTCACCCCATAACTTTTTGGATTTTTTCAAGAAGTGCTTTTTGCAGAAGCGCTTTCAACTTGTTACTTTAATGGCAATATTTATTAAAGAAAATATAACTTATTGCAAGTAACATGAAAGCTGTAAGTAGCACTTTATATTTATTGTCCATTAATGTCTTCCTTCTTTAATTTTCATTCAATCTGATAATAGAACATGCTTTTCCCTGCAATTTATTAATAAAATTATTTTCAGAACATATTCATATTTATTAAGCCTAAAGCCTTAATTATATATTTCATACCGAGGCTATAATTCCTGTAATTGAGATATGAATAAACCAATATCCTTATTGTTAATTATGTTTAATGATAATTGTTGTATTAAACTTAATCCCGAGTTATGGATGATTTTATTTTATCTAATAAACTTTATTCAAAATTATGAATATATGATGAATTCTCTTCTTTTGTGCAACTTTTTACCGAACATTTTTTTTTTTAAACTTAATATTATCCATTATGAACTCAAAATTAAGCAATAAAGCCGTTTAATTTAACCCAATATTTTATGTGTATTTAAGTCAAGTTAGCATCATTTGTGCTTTTTTTTTTTTTTATAATTTAAAAATCCTTTAAACTTGATATAAAATAAATTAAAAAGAAAAAAGAGAATGCAAGTAGGGTATTTATATTTTTATTAAGGGAGAACGACTTACACGTACCCAAGGTTTATCGTAACGACAAGTTGGTACCCAAAAGGTTTTGAAATGACAAATAGGTACTTTCCGTCATGCTCTGTTAGTGATTTCTGTTTATTACTGTTTATTAATAGTTAAAAGACTAAAATGCCATTAAAAGTTTGAATTTTAGTTTTTTATAAATTTAAAAATTTTTAAAAAACCCCCTAAGTTTACAAATTTAACTAAATACCCCAATATATAAAAATTTTGTAAAATAATAAAAACACCCCCGCCACCTGCAGTGTCAGATTCCGGCCATCACCGCCGGAATCTGGCCGGAAAGTTGCGTTACGACACAGACCCGTCGGGTCTGTGTCGTAACGCGTCGATCTGGCCTTTTCTGGCCAGATCAGCCACGGATCTGGCCGGAAAAGGCCAGATCTGGCTGCTGCTTCGACGGCCAGATCTTGCCTTTTCTGGCCAGATCCGTGGCGGATCTGACCGGAAAGGTCAGATCGGCACGTTACGACACAGATCCGATGGATCTGTGTCGTAATGCAGTTTTTCGGCCAGATTCTGACGATGGTGGTCGGAATCTGGCATTGGGGTGGTAGGGGTGTTTTTGTCATTTAACAAACTTTTTATATATGGGGGTGTTTAATTAAATTAGCAAACTTAGAGAGTTTTTTAGAAATTTTTAAATTTATAAAAAACTAAAATTGAAACTTTGAAGAGCATTTTAGTCTTTTCACTATTAATAAACAAAAATCACTAACAGAACATGACGGAAGGTATCTATCTGTCGTTTCAAAACTTTTTGAGTATCAACTTGTTATTACGGTAAATCTTGAGTATGCACAAGTCGTTGGGCCTTTTATTAATGAAAAGCTTTTCAAGAACCATATAATATATATTCTTTCATGTCCATTCGTACAATTATTTGCATGGGTATTGGCGAAGACAATGACATTTGATAAATTCCCAATAAGAATTAGTGGAAAGAGGGGCCATATTTTATATCTATTATTCATAACTTTTAACATAGCCAAAAAAATCCAAAAACACGTCAACACCGTTATGTTATGTGTATCACCAACCATTACATTTATGAATTATGATTAATTGTGAATTTTTATTTAATTTTTATTGTTAATGTCATTAGTTATATTTATTGTCATCGTTGATCATCATTGTCGGTCAACGATGATCAAGATTTGACCATCGTTGACTTTTAACGACGGCCATTTCTTTGGCCGTGACTAACGACTAGATCGATGAATTATCGGTCATTTCGAAAGCTCTTAACCAAAAAGGAAAAAAAGAAAATTATCCCCCTGTTTGTTTATATAAATTTTCTTTTCGAAAGCTCTGGAAAACCATTCTTATATTCTAAAACCTGCGAAAAGGTACAAGCTTTATCACCCCCTCTCATAAAAAAACTGCATTTTTCCGGGAAAATTTTGTGCAGGTCATTTTCTGTCTCAACAAAAAAACTATTCATGTTGTTGAGCATCAAAAGTTTAAGTCTTTTAGGTCATTGTTTGCTCGGAAAATGTGAAAAAGGAAAAAGAAAATAGTTTTAATTTTTAAATAGCTTTTTTAATTTATTTATTTTTTCTTATTTGGTAATTGTTTGTCAATTAGGTTATTAGTTTATCAACTTTATTTCATTGATTATGCAGCTTTAGTTATTTAAACTTTCCAGCTTGGGATTTATCAATTATTGTTATAGGTGATTTGACGGGTCATTAATTGGTTTTGTGTATATGTTGGTGAATGTAGGTTAATAGATGACATTGTGTGCGGTTTCAGCTGCTGTTGCTTCCACTCAGAGAATCACTTTAAACCATGTAATTAGCCTTGTGCTCTATATACATTATGCATTTATAATATGATGCTTTCGTTATGCTTTTCGTGTATCTTTTGTTGATAAATTTGGAACAAAAATGTGATATGTTGTCAGATGTTGATGATGACATTAGTTATTTTAGGTGGATTGTTGTTTGTTTTCTATTAAACATCTATGAGCATCGATTTTTTTTTTGGTTTTCTATTAAGAATCTATGAGCGTCGACTTTTCTTTCTTTTTCTTAGAAAACCAGTCCAAATGTGGTAAATCTTCCATTTTTCAGGCTGATTATGTAGAGTTTGCATTGTCCAATCCAAGGGGAAAGCTCTCACACTTGACATGTAGGCATCAAGTGAGACATCCTGTTAATGTTGTTCAATTATTAGCAGTAAAGAGGAGGGAACTTACGCTGAAGACCTTACCCTTCTCTGTCCCAAATGAAAATGATGAGGCTGAAAGAGAAACATCCCTTGATTGCACTGATGATGGCCTGGTTTTGGGAACAGAAATATCGCATGATTCCACTGATGACCTCCCGGTTTCGGAAAGAGAAACATCCCATGATTTCACTGATGATGGCCTGGTTTTGTGTTCTGAGGATAACAAAAGTTCTGAGCACCAAGATGTAGAAGTTGTCGCCTCTGTTTCATCTTTGGAAGAAGACCTTTCTCAGGGTGCCGAGGATTTGAGAAAGCCAGGAAGCCTTCTTGAAAAACTAAAGGCTATACACTTACATGTATTAGCGTCTGAACAATGGAACAATTCTCAACTCCAATTATGTCATGCGTACGCATAATTTATTTATAAGGTTATTATAGTATTATGTTCCATTAGGCATAGCCTGGATTCTTGGTTTATTCTTAAGTGCTTGCGGAGTGGGACACTAATAGCTTGGCCTCCAATATTTAACCTCTCAGTATTTCATGAATTATCTGATGGACTTTAAAAGAATAAAATTCTATGATTCTTCCATGGCCATATTTAATTCTATATGCTGCATTTTTCTTGTACCATTTCTTTACACATCTCTCACTCATCAAGCTCTGGTAATTTATGGAATGATAAATCTGTTTCAATTACCAACTGCTGTTTATTTGGAAGTAATCTGGGTTACCATGGTATGTTACTTTCTGCCTTCTAAACATAATTTTTTTTTTTTTTGTGGCCTAGCTGACATTACTTGGAGAGTGCAACAAACTTAATTCATTATCTGGCTCTAAAAGGCCTTGACATTGAGCAGCTGAGGGAAGATCTCTCTTTTACTGGTCTTTTGAATTTGAAGACTATCAATTCATACGTTCTTGCATGTCTAAATGCCGGAATCCAACTATTGGAGAACCAGAATACTACTTCTCTAGATAAAAAAGAGAACATTAGTGTGGGAAGTTGCACTCAGGAAATATTGTACCAACGGCAGAATGAGAAGTTCACAGTTAGAGCGATGAGGAAGAAACTGTTGTCCAATAAAGAGTTATTGTTGGGCTCACTTCGGGGTAACAGAACTACTCAAGTTATGGTGACAATTGGGCAAGAGGCCACCGAGAGTGACACACTTATGGGTGACGTTCTTAAGGCTGGTGCCTCCATTATTAGGATAAATTGTGCTCATGGAAACCCTAGTGTCTGGAGTGAAATAATCAGAAGAGTAAAAAGAACTTCTCAAATGTTGGAGATGCCATGTCGAATTCTTATGGATTTAGCTGGACCGAAAATCTGTACAGGGAGCTTGAAGCTTGGTCCATGTGTAACTAAAATGTCCCCCAAGAAAAATGCTACTGGAAATGTGATGTTTCCAGCTCAAGTTTGGCTTTCTTACAAAGGATCAGATCCTCCTCCTCCTTCTCACTTGTCTCCTGATGCAGCTCTATTCATAGATGACCAAAGATTTCTCAGTGAGCTCAAGGAAGGTGATACTTTGAAGTTTTATGATGCCAGAGGGAAAAAAAAAAGGACTCTCAAGATTACTAGACAGTTTCATGTTTTTTCTGGTACAGGGTTTGTGGCTGAATGTACAAGGACTGCTTATGTTCAGTCTGGGACAGAATTGTATACTAAAGGAAAGAAAGGTAGGCTCTTAGCTGGAAAGGTGGTGGATGTCCCTGCCAAAGAGAAATTTATCAGATTGAGAGTTGGAGACCTGCTAGTCATATCACAAGATAGTTCATTGGAACAGGAAGATTTGTCTGGTCCAGCTAGTGGTGCTCATAGGATAACTTGTTCTTCTGGCTATCTATTTGATTCGGTCAAACCTGGAGAGCCTATACCTTTTGATGATGGAAAGATTTGGGGAGTAATCCAGGGAGCAAGTAATTCAGAGATTGTTGTCTTTATCACTCGTGCCGGTCTTAGAGGTACTAAACTTGGATCAGAGAAATCCATAAACATCCCGGAAAGCAATATTCAGTTTGAAGGTCTTACTACAAAGGATCTCATGGATCTTGAATTTGTTGCCTTGCATGCTGACATGGTGGGTGTTTCTTTTGTTCGAGATATTAGTGATAATGTTGTGCTCCGTCAAGAATTGGAGAAACGGAAACTTCAGAACCTGGGTATTATTTTGAAGATTGAGACAGAGTGGGTTTGAGAAATTGCCTCTTATGCTTTTGGAAGCTATGAAATCATCAAATCCTCTGGGGGTTATGATTGCGAGAGGAGATCTTGCAGTGGAGTGTGGGTGGGAAAGGTTGGCTGATATACAGGAAGCAATTCTGTCTATTTGTGGAGCTGCCCATGTACCAGTCATTTGGGCAACTCAGGTTCTAGAGTCACTTGTCAAGTCTGGTGTCCCTACCAGAGCTGAGATTACCGATGTTGTCAATGGAAGGAGGTAAGTGTCAACTTCGTTACCCTGGAAATTCATTATATTGATCGGAGAAGTTCCATTGATAGAGGTTCATCTTCACTCTTGCTCGTGTATCCATGGCCTGACGAGAATGATAAGACCCATATAGCCAATTTTTAGATATTTTCCATTGGTACCTAAGATTATTAGCATTTACTACTGCTTTTGCAAGTCAGTTAATTTCAAAAAGGATGGTGTTCTCCTTGGTCTCAAGACTTAATTAAAACACACGTTACCTTTGTTGTCCTGGCCATCTTGCCTTAAAATGTTAGGCTATCGCAGTTATTTCAGTTGAAAATAGCTGTTGAGACCAGTTTTGATCTGAAAATCTGCATAAGCTGTAGGATGAGAACCTGCAAATTCATTCTGATTAATTGAGGTCAAGCCAGGTTATAATTATTCTTTGAATACGTGCACAGAGTTGTTTTGGATCTTTCTTAGTAGGTTTTTTAGTTTGTTACTAGCATAATATCTTATCTTTAATTTTTCTAGAAAAATTGCGCTAATACAATAATATAGGTAGGGATTAAGCGAAGTATGTTATTCTTTTTTGCAGGGGAAGCTGCGTAATGTTAAACAAAGGAAAATATATTGTGGAAGCTGTTTCAACTTTGGATACCATCCTCCACCTAAACACTTCTCAGACGAAAGCAGAACTGAAGCCTCTTCTACTTTGGAGCCACTTTTTTCACTGAAAAGTTTTCTCTTGTATATAACCATCCTTTTCTAATGAGCACACTAGATGAGATTAATCTCAACTCCCGTACATTGTCTTTGCTTGAATGCAGACTTAGTATCTACTACTATTGTTTCTTTCAACGAACCCATGNCTTAGGCTATCGCAGTTATTTCAGCTGAAAATAGCTGTTGAGACCAGTTTTGATCTGAAAATCTGCATAAGCTGTAGGATGAGAACCTGCAAATTCATTCTGATTAATTGAGGTCAAGCCAGGTTATAATTATTCTTTGAATATGTACACAGAGTTGTTTTGGATCTTTCTTAGCAGGTTTTTCAGTTTGTCACTAGCATAATATCTTTATCTTTAATTTTTCTAGAAAAATTGCGCTAATACAATAATATAGGTAGGGATTAAGTGAAGTATGTTCTTCTTTTTTGCAGGGCAAGCTGCGTAACGTTAAACAAAGGAAAATATATCGTGGAAGCTGTTTCAACTTTGGATACCATCCTCCACCTAAACACTTCTCAGATGAAAGCAGACCTGAGGCCTCTTCTACTTTGGAGCCACTTCTATCATTAAAAAGTTTTCTCTTGTATATAACCATTCTTATCTAATGAGCACACTAGATGAGATTAATCTCAACTCCCGAACATTGTCTTTGCTTGAATGCAAACTTAGTATCTACTACTATTGTTTCTTTCAACGAACCCATTTTTTGTCATCAGATTTTAGTGGTTCTAACCTACTCTTTCTGCAATAAAACCTGGGATAAGAATTGATATTGAGGTCTGCTATCTTGAAATGAGGTGATCTTGTTATTACACGTCAAATTAAACTGTATAACTTGTACATTGTCTTATGTATAATTAAACTTTTGCCTAGTAGTTTAGGGCAAGAGCCATTGTGTGCTTGTACTTGTTGATTTCAGGTACTGCTCGCGTGACTACCTTAGTTCCTTCTTGTACCAGTCGATGCCAGGTATATTGTGATTGAACGGAGGTGTTCGAATTTTGTAGGTTCAATGCTATTGTAGATTTATATGTTGGATGGTATGACCAAATTAATTGCCAACTCATTTACTGTTGTACAGCAAAAAAAACTAAGCAAACAAATGACTAAAGAGAGCGAACCAATGAATAATTCTTAATCAGTGCTGGCCTCCGAGTTGGAGGTATTATCTGTGTTATTCTTTCGTTACCATTACACCGATTAACAAAAAGAGAGTTCAGAGTAAATTTTGAAGTATGAATGGAGGCACCAGAGTTTGACGTAATCCAACCAGTCCTGGGCCAATCATCTTGTCTATTCCTTTCTGTGGTCACAGATTTTTCACGCATCTTTTCAGTATAGCAGCGCCAAGCTGCTTGTATACGACATGCTGCCCAAGTCCTCCAATGGTCAGAGTAATACCTGAAAGCATGCTGGAGCTGAGTCCTGTTAAGCCGCTTGAATAATTTAGAGGCAACAAACTTCAAGTCATCAATCGTTTGAACTTAGAACAAAGGCGTCAACTTCTGTATGGGCTCCAATAGTTCTAGTTGAGATAGGAAGGTCATTAGTTAAGGACCGATGATATGGAGCCCATGAGATAAGTACTATAATTGTTTCTTTCAATGTGCCCATTTTTTCGTCCGGATTTTAGTGATTTTAACTTACTCATCCTACAACAAAACCGAGGATACGAATCAATTTTGAGATGTGTTGAATATCTTGAACTTGAAATGAGGTGCTGTAGCTAGATAAAATCAAATTCATATATAGAAGTACATAGAGCTAGAATCATATATATTATCTCTATTTTCCAGACAAATCCAGGTATATTAACAGCTCACATCTGATTTATGGCTCCTCAATGTTGATCTCAGGCTCTGCTGATCGGTGTTGATGATGGTGCTGGTAGTGCTCTCTCGGATGATCTAACACCCTGGATAACATTAACCAGTGCTGAAGCACCATGTTTGAATATATCTTGCAATTCAGGCTCTATTTCTCCAGCTGACCTTTGCCAGTTCCTTTTATTAAGATAGTTACGCCAGGCATTTTGTATGACAAGAGCTGCATCAATGACATTTTTCAAGCTCAATCCAGAATAGTTAGAAAGCTGGTACTTAATAAATACATTTTTCAAGTCATTTGCCAAGAGAGCAAAGGCTTCAACTTTAGTAAGGGCTTGAATAGTTCTTGTTGACATAGGGAGATTGGATGATGAGGGTTCATCCAGAGCCCATGCTATAAGTTCTTCTCCACAGAAGTCGCCATCTTTCAGATGATCTTTAGTTTTACAATTTTTATTCTCTTTGTGATGTTCCGTGCTCACCGAAGCAGAGGCAGAGGCAGAGGAAGTTGTTTTAGCCTTGGAGGTGTAGGTCCATAGTTTGCCGTGCACTATGAAGAGCATCTCATCTATTGGGTCTCCCTCACAGATTATGTGAGTGCGCTCAATGTAGAAAGCTGGCTTTACACAATCACACAGCGCATCCAGTATTGTTTCATTCAACTTTTTAAATTCTTCTACCTTCATATTACATCCAAGAAAAAGAATGAGAAAATGCTTTGGTTATAGCTACATTGTAGCATCGACAATGAAAAAGGAACTTACTTTTTTTAGCAGTTCTGAGCAGAGTTCACGTTTTATGTTCATTCTAAGGTCATTGGGAAGATTATTGAGCAAATTGTCTACATCAACACCATTGGTTTCTCGCCAAATGTATCTCTGGTGTTTCTTAACCTGTTGTTGCAGATTCTCAGAGAGCTTGCCGAAGGACATCCATTGCTCTATCTCTCTCCTCTTCAGTCTCATCTCCACTGATCTTATAGTCTTGGACTGCAGATATGTCTGTTTCACAAGAAGAATGATTCATAGAAAGTAAAGTTTATTGCTTAAACTTATGAATGAATTTCCCAGTTTATTCTACTTAATGTTATGATTGAGTTATCCAAGATCTGAACTTCAATTCCTGGCAGAAGGGGTTAAATGATTTTTTTCCCCTACTACTATCAAGTTAGTAAGAGTTTATAAGATTTTGTCTTCAGGTAAACTCATTCTTTCTGGAGTTGAAGTCCAGGATTTAAGAAAATATTGATGTTCATGAGAGTTAAGAACTAATCAATCATATGCATTTCAATAAAATCAGAGATATTTAAGAAAGAACTAATCAATCATATGCATTGCAATAAAATCAGAGATATTTAAGAAAGAGAAAAATGTTCACCCAACCTGCATATTTCCGATGAGAAAGAGGAACAACACCAAACCAGAAATGGTAATCCAAACTGCAAAGAAGTTTTCCCAGATGAAGGTACTTGTTGTGAGATTTTGCCAAAACAGCTGAAAAGAAATTGAATGTGACTAAGTCATCAGACATTACCCTCAGAATTGTAACTGTACGAGTAAGAAAATTTTTATGGGGTCATGACAGACAAAGTACTTGATATAAAATGTTTGAAACCAAGACAGATCATGCAGGGGCTGATATTACTGTATTTCTGGTTCAATACCTGTGCAGACTTTAAATGAGAAACATAGAACAAACCTGGAGTTTTGCAGGCCCATTGGAAGCAATGTAAAACCTTCTGTGGAAAATCTGTCACCTCCACAATGCCGACTGAAGAGCATCATGGACATTCCAAAATCAAAAGCAACCGGTTCTGAGTCTTTGTAACAAAATCATTCAGAAATTTGTAGTCTCCTGAACTTTGATTACAGTTAAAAGAACCTTGACTACATCCAGTATGATTTATGCAGGCATTCCCAGCATACAGTCATCTCTCTTGGCAAAAAAGTACCACAAGGCTCCAAATACCTAAAGATCCAGCAAGTCACTTGTCAATCAGAACTTTAGTCACCAATAGGGTATTATCTCTGATCTATAACACATAAAGAAATGAAAATTAACTTACATGACCACAAGCATGTAAAGAAGAAGATTGAATGCAGCTTTGGCCCATAAGCTTCATCAAAGACCCTGAAATCCTAGTAGCTTTCATAAACAATGGTAGATTCTGATAACCCTCGGCACATATTGGAAAAACACGGAAAATTTTAACAACTTCATCCCGGTAAAAAGTTCGGAGCCTCTCATTGTTGGAACCAATAATAAAATCAACCTGGACAAAGGCCAATAAGTTTAGAGTCTAATAAGTAGGGAAGTGTCTGTGTCAATATAGTTAACAACATTACGGTGAAAAGAATTTTGCATTACCTGTGGCAGTGGAAGAATGGCGAGAATGTCGATTGGAAAGAAACGCAACAAATATTTCCTGTCTACAGTGCAAGCATCTTTATGCAAATTAACTTGCCTATATCGCTTAAATACAAAGGAGCAAAAAAATCAGTATCAAGCCGGGAAATAATACAGATTATATGAAAGAAGTCAAAGACCGAACGGAGAATAATGGCAGTAGTCCCCAACTTTTTGTCAAATTTAAGGCACTTTTGATCATCATTGATCACAGGAATGTAGAAGAACAAAGGATCCAATGAGATGCCAATGACGCACAATATAAGAAAGATCCACAAACCCAAAGGCCCCTGTGGGTCAATTTTCTTCATGTGCAGCAAAATTTTGGCCACAATGCCGTAACAAGATCTTGGTAAGCTTCTAATCCATTCATTTTCAACTCCAAGTTTCCGGGAAAACTTCCTTTCTGTACCTTCCTCTAAATTCAAGTTGGGGGACCTGAACAAAACATTAGTAATTTACATTTTAGTTTGTTGCTCTACCCTGTTCATGTGCAATTACCATATTTACATTTTGGAAACACCAAAGAGCCAATGATAGACTACAAGTTTATCATTCTTTCACCTACATCGTCAAGAAGAATGTAAAAATCACACCAAAATAAGAGAATTTCAGATTTTAATCAGGCCCCCCTACCTTTTGGAAGCCATATTGACCTCCCCGAGGTTTTAAGAAAGTATCACCGATCTCTCCTGGGTTAAGTAGAACAGACGCCGATAATCTTCAGGCGACTTTTGGGCTTCCTTCTTCCTTGGGTTGAGAACAGTGCTTTAACTGTTTAACAGACACAGGGGCCGAATGCTACAGTCACCACAAATAGCGAACCGAATTCATGCACTGATTATATGACCCGAAAACAAAATGCTATGGTATGTATTTTCCTCCATCCATTTAGCCAATGTTATAGAGGATAAGAGAATCACTCCTGTTTCTTAACGTACAATCGTAAAGTAGTGTGGTCATAAATTTTTTCTTTTGATTACTTAGTAAGTTATTATAAAGAAATTCGTGATTCAATGGATTGATGTGCAGATAATCAGGAATATGGTCCCCTGTTCAACTTTTTGAGGATTTCTCACGGACAGCCAAAAAAAAAAAAAACAACCTTTTCATCTTTATTCATTTTACAGTTGTATACAATTTCCACGATGTTGATTCAAAGAGGATTGAATAACGTGTCTCTGTTTGTCTTTGCAGACATTAATTATTATTATTATTAATTGCTTCTAAACTTGCATATAAACTGTTACTTAACCCCGCTTTGGGAGTAGGTGGTTTATTTGTCTGAAGCTTGAGGATGCAGATCAAATTGAAAGATATATACAGTAAAACCTATCAATGAAAGTAACTAATTTTATTAATATAAAGAGGTTATAATTTAATAGAGTTATAGTTAAAAAAATTTCTTATTTCACAATTCATGTTTTAGTAGTACAATATGAGGATTTCAATTCATGTTTTAATAATATTAGGGTTTCAATTCAACGCTTCAATTGCCTACTTTTGAAACGGATAGAAGATCATGTTTTGAAACTAACAAAGATAACTATCCTTGATGGAATTGTAAATATAGTTGCTGCATAGCAACTGATGTAAAGTCACTAACAATTGTCAATTATTTTAAGCATTACAAAATTATAACCCTCGATGTCGATAATTGCAAGTTACAAATGAAGTGGATAGGGAAAATCAAAGAGTCATTGTAGAATTGAGTAATCAGATTCGACAACTTCACTATACTAATCGAATAAATATTAATGTATTCCTTAATCATTCAAATGAGTAATAAGTCATGTATGTTTTAACAAAATAAGAAATCATTTCTATAATTAATTAAGAAGAGAAAGGAAATAATTACGAGATTGATAGTACGGAAATACTAAAAGTTTCATGTCAATAAGCTCTAAATATGTTTGAGAAGCTAAAAATGTTTTGGTTTTAACAAAAAAATATTCATGCTAGCGAGTAATGTACCCGCAAGTTAAAAGATGTAATAACAACTCTAAAACATGAATTATTATTCTAAACAACTTTAGATAAATATTTCATGTCCTCTTAAACCTTTAATGTAACACACCATATTTTTTTTTTTTGTAATATACAAATAATTATTATTATGTGGAGACAGCTTTTCTTAAGTCAGGAATTAAAAAATTATAACTTATTACAATATGAAGTTTATTCTTATTTATAACTATCACAAATTAAGAATATAATTTTTTATAATTATATAAAAATTTATTTTTACTGTAACCACTAATAAAATAAAATTAGGAATTAGTAAAGAGTTAACATAACCCCCAAATGTCAAATCGTCCACGGAGAAACTTGTATAAGAAGGCATAATCTTTAGAAAAGTACAAATGAGAACTTCTTTTGACGTGGTTGCTTTTTGTGGGAGCTCTTTTAATATTGGTGGAATCTACAGGAGAAAAAAAAAAACAAAACATTTAGTTACAATTTTATTTTTATTTTATATGCATACTTTTCCATCATGGATTTAGTTACTTTTTCTGTCAATAACCCGACACAAATTAGATTAGTCTATCCTGGATTTTGGCTAATTGATCATGAACCAAATGAGATATACTGCTCATTATTCCATCAATTCAAAACTCAGTTGCACTTTTCAATCTTTCTTTTCTTTTCTTTTCTTTTCTTCTTATGCTTCTTTTTTTTAATTTAATAAAAATTGCTAAGTCCAGTAATATCCTCCATATTGTAGGGTAGATTTGATTATTTAGACCATGAATAATAATACTACATATACAATATTATGTGATAATAGATGATAAGATGAAAGTTTAATTTTAATTTAAAATTAACTAACCATATTTTGTTACATAATGTTGTATAAGAAATATTATATTTATAGTATTACTATTAGACCATTGCCTATTGACAATTGTTTGCACTTGCACAAACAAGAAGCTAAAAGGAAATTTCAACTCCTGTAAATTTACTAGCTATGTTTATGCTTCTTTCAACGCGTATTTTTTTTTTTTTTTTTTTGCTTAAAGATTTTGGTAATTCTAACCACTACAACAAAAGCAAGGACAAAAATTAATATGGAAATTTGCTAAATACCTTGAAATGGGGTTGTCTTATTTTCAAAATGTTATGGTTTTCCTAATTAATTATAGGTTTTGTTGGTATTTCTTCATGCATGCATTTGCGTTGATTGTTGTTTGATATTATTACAATATTGGAAAAAATATACTTCCTTGGTATGGTATCTTTTTTATTTTCTTTCTAATAATTTTTTTTCTAGTATGGTAAATCAAGATTCAATAAAGAAATGAATTGTCTTATCAATAGTACAATATCAAATTCAAATGCATTGCATTTAGTACTTATCACCAAGATTCGTAAATACAATTTTGCAACTCAGGCTCCATTTCCTGAGAAGCCCTTTGCGAGTTCTCTTGTATCATACGAGCTGCCTAAATCGTCAAACGATTCAAGTTCAATTCGGATGAGCTTGAAATGTAACAAATACATTTTAGATGATCGCATAAGTCAGCCATCTTTTAGATGATCCGTTTTGGTTCTGTAAACATCAATACCTCAGTAACGATCGTGGCCAGTTGAGCTAATCGTTACAGCCTTGGAATGGTGTGTACAATCAAAGAGAACAAGTAATTAAATTACTAAAAAAAAAAAGGTTAAAAACATTATCTTTTGGTGGTATAAAGGGAAAGTAACCGTTAGATGTTAGAACTGTCACATGTATTTACATCTTTCAAAGATTAAGCAAAATTAGATGAATGAGGATCCAAATCCCAGAATAGGGATTCAACAGACGTGCTGGTGTGTAAGCCTGACGAATTCCCGCTAGGCTTAAACCATTCATCTTGCAACATAATATCTTCTGCTCGCAGCAGAGATTCTTCAAGCATCTTTTTCTTATATCCGCGCCAAGCGTGCTGTATTAAACGAGCTGCGCTAGATCTCCTCCAACCGGTGTAGTAGCTATACAAATACTCTTGCTGATTACTGGTAGGCCTAAATTGAGAGACAACGAACTTCAAGTCAGCGGCCGTTAGAACAAAGGCTTCCACTTCAGTTAGGGCTCAACAGTTCTAGTTGAGAAGGGGAGGTCGTTCGAGGACTGAAGATTCAGTGCCACCGAGATAAGTACTTCTCCAAAGTAGTCCCTCCTAACATAGAAGCGTTATAGAAACGTGCTCTCCACCATCAGTTGCCACGCTTGATAGCTTGCCTTGCATGACAAACAACAATCATCTCAACTGGGTGAACCTCCCGAACAAAGTAACTATCCTCGTGTACAGCATCGGCTTGAGTCGGTCGCACAATTCATGCAAAAGTGGTTATTCATGTTTTGAAACAGTGGGACCTAAACACAGCCAAGGTGAAAAAGAAGTAAGAAGAAATTAATAATGAAATTTTTCTTTCAAGAAACAATTATCCACGATAAAGAAACTTACTTTCAAGAGTAATTCTAAGCCGAGTTCACTCTTTACTCTATTTCTAAGGTCCTTGGGAAGATTTTTAACCAAATTTTCTACGTCAACACCTTTGGTTTCTCGCCATACCTATGTCCATATTTCCTAACTTCTGTTGAAGATTGTTGACAGCTTTCTAAAACCCATCCACTGCTCTATCTCGTCCCTTTAATCTCATCTCTTCTGATTTTGCACTTTTGGACTGTAGGTATATCTGTTTCACACAAATTAAACATAGTTTATATTCAAATAAATTAAAATTTTAACTTAAAGTCTAAAT